GTTATGAGGCTGGCTCTGTGGCATTACACGTAGAAAAGCTTCCCAACGAGTGAGTACCGTGGGGTTGAGTGATCTGCTAAAAACCTGCTCCTGGGTCCTGCCTGGTGCTACCACAGGCACCTCTGCTGCATCCCAGAAGAGTGGATGGATTCTGATCCTGTTTAATTTTAACTCATGGCTGGTTGCTGCCTGCTGCAGCAAACTGGGGCGTTGGACCCCCAGCCCCTTTGGCCAAGGAGGGGTTGAGGACCAAGGCCATGGATTTACGTCGTCCTCACTGCCTGTCCATTGCTCAGTTGTGGCTTGATGACTGGCAACTCTTTCCTCAGATCTGCTGCAGAGGGGGTTTTTTTTTGTGTGGTTTCTCATCTTCTTTCTCATCCCATCTCCAGGCCAAATCGTTTGTTGATCCTCCATGGCTTTTTGGATGAAAATGTGCACTTTTTTCACACCAACTTCCTGGTATCACAGCTAATCCGGGCCGGCAAACCTTACCAGCTGCAGGTAGGAGGAACAAGGGTTAAGTGGAAATGTCTCTTAAATCTGGAAATACTTTTCTGCTGTGTGTTCTGGGGGCGAGAGAAGGTGGAGGCAGACGCTCCCTCATCTGGTTGCATTGTGGATGACAATAAATGCCCAGTTTGACTCCAAGAGGTGGCCGGGAGGTGGCACTGTGGCTGCTTCATTGCTGGCAGATGTGGCCTGTGTCTAAAAGCATTTGCGAGCAGGGATCCTGCCCTCAGGCCTGGAACTTTCCTTCTCCCCTGCACTGTTGCTTTGTCCCTTGGCTGGTGGCAGCAGAGGTGAGAGTGCAGTGAGGGAGCAGGGCTGGTGTTTGACACCTTCCCTGGCACCAATTTGTCCCATGGAGACTGGGTTGAGGGGAAGAAGGCTGATGTGAGGGAGGGTTGTCCATGCTGAAGGAGCTGCTCCTGGCTAACTACGCTGTCTCTCTGTTTCTGCACAGATCTACCCCAATGAGAGACACAGTATTCGGTGCCCCGAGTCAGGAGAGCACTACGAAATCACGCTGCTGCACTTTCTACAAGAATACCTCTGAGAGCACAAGCCTCTGCAAACTGGACACTGATGGCTCACCTTCCCCCTCCCATGCCCTGCCATGACCGCCTCCCTCCACAGCCTAATCCAGAGCACAAATGGCTGCGAGCCCAGTCTGGGCTGGGTGACCCCTCCCCAAGCGAGGAGGGAGGGCGGAGGGCACCTTCCCTTTGGACAGTGCCACCTTCTTTCACTTTCCACGCTGGAGGCCTGCCTCTGCTCGGCTGCTCGTCCTCCTCCTCTCCTCCGGCCTGGCTGTTAATGCTTTTTTTGCTGCTACTCCCTCTATCCTGGGAATCAATGGACAGTGGTCTGTCTCCTGAGGCTGAGGTTTGTGTCCGTCTCTCTCTTTCCCCATCCTTTTTCCCCTTCCACTGCACCTCTGCAGTCCCCGTACTCTCACCTGCAAGAACTCAGTGCCTGTGTTGGAAATGGAAGAGCCGAATCAGCAAGCTGCCTTAAGCCAGGAGCGGGAGGGAAGAGACAACTCCCTGTTGTGAAGCCCAGGGGAGCTGATCCGCTGCTGCTGCTGCTGTGTCCTGGCCCTGCTGCGACAACGTGGAGTCCTGTGAAGTGAAGAGAGCTCTGCAGAAGCATGCAACACTAGTCTTTTCTTTTTTTTTGTTTTTTTTCAGTTCTAATATTACAGAGCAGATGGAGGAAGGGGCTGGGGTCGGTAACAGCGTCCTCTGGTACCTTTCTCTAATGGCCGCTCACACGCAGAGTTGTGCCAAGAGGTAGCGCGGCGGCTGAAGCAGCTGGCTACAACCAGAGATCATCTCTCCAGAGGTCACAGCAGCATCTGGGTTTTTGCCACACAAGATGGATGATATTTATGCAAATCCTCCCTCCCTCCGTTCTCTGTGCTGCCTCCCGATCCCACCTTCTCCTTCCCTGACACCTCGAGCTTTCAGATGTGCACTGAAATTGGCTGTGCTTCAGTTCTCTGCGGGTCAGTGACAGTTCCCCTTGCCCGTCTACTCAGCAAATGCTCTCTTCTGGTTTTTATTTACCTGGTCAACAGGAACTGCAGTTCTGGGGAGGGGGGATTGAGCAATCACACCTCAGGGGAGCACAAACCCCCCCTCAAGCCAAGGGTTCTGCCAGGGGCAAAAAGGAAAAAAACAAAACAAAACCCACCCAAATGAACCACATTGACTTGCCCTGGAGTATTTTAAGTGCGTATTATGAAAAGAAAATATTTTTATGGATTCTTATTCTTTTATAATTATGAGTGTAAGATGTAGCGACTCATTAAAATATTGGAAAGAGACGCTGGCTGGCTTTTGTGCCTGTTTTTGGAGCGCAGGAAAGGGCTCGGGAGGAAATGGCAGCTGGCTCGCGATAGCCAAAGCTGCGTCTGTGGTAAAAGCAAAGCGCTCTGTTCGCTTTCTGTGCCGAGCGGTGGAGAGAATATTAAATCCCCGCTGTTCCTCGGGGGAAGCACGATCCAAGCAATTGAAGACGCAGGGGTGGAGAGTTGGGAATCCTGGACCGTGCTCTTGGCTCTGCTGCTCAGGCGCTGCACGACCTTGAGCGAGTCTTGCATCCCGGCTGGCGGGTGATGCCAGCGCTGGAGGCCGGAGCCTCACCCCGGCTCCCTCCATGGCCTCAGGGGATGCAGCTGCTCCGCCCCGAGCGCTCCCAAGCTCTGATCCCACGCTGGGATGCACGGAGCTGCTGCTTTTGCAGGTGCTGGGCCTGCCCACGCTCGCCCTCTCTGGAGCTCCCAGCTTACAAAACCTGGCCTTGCTGTTTTCCTTCCCGGATGAGAGTCCAGCGTTAATTAAACTGCATTTAAATGCCCCGAGGATGCAAGCTGGAGGCTTCTGTTTCAAATGCAAAGCACCTTGCAGCTGGATCGTTTTATTTCCTGTGAGCAGATTTGCCCCTTTCTCGTCCCTGTGCCCAAATTATTGTCCCAGCTCTCACAGTTGTTTTAGCTTCTACTGCATGCCCCGTTGGGTAACTTCTGGTGCAGCTCTTGAGGTCGGGGGGGCGGAAGGGGACGTAACGGAGGAAGTTGCACATCTCTGAGGTTTCCTTGAGAGAAATTTGCAGTCAGAAAAGTTGCTCCCCTTTCTCTGCCTGCTTTAGAGCCGGGTGAGTGCCAGTGGAGGGTAAGAAGCTTTATTTTGCAGGGTTTATTTCTTCTCAGTCTTAATTTAAACTGCTTTTTCCTGTCCCAAAAGAGCAAGTGTTTCTTAAAATGTCTGCAATGCACTCTTAAAACACTCTTGTCTACAAGAGTTTACCAATCTGTCAGCTCCTTTGATCCTCCAAGTTGGCTTCTGAAGCTGTAGGATTATTTTTAACGCCATAAAATGGGGGTTGGTTTTCTTCTTTTGGGGATTGCGAATCCTGGGTGGCATTAACTGGGAGATCGCCTCCCGCAATCCTGAGCTTTTCAATGTGCAGCGGGCTCGGCCGCGGATGGAAATACAGATGGGGTGGGAGGCCCCCGCCCTGCTGTCCGATGGGAGCACGGTGCAGCTGGGTGTCTCTTTCAGATGGAGGATTTGCAGCTGGAGCGCGAAGTTGAGTTCATTTCCTGAGAGAGGGGAACGGCTGGAGGAAGCAGCGGGGGCTGCAACGGGTGCTGGGAAAACCAGGCACAAATTGCTCTTCCTCAAGAACTGGGCTTGGGAGGCATTTCTCCCACCAAAACCCAATGTGTGGGGCTTTATTTTTAGGTGGAGGATGTGGAGGGGGAGCAGATGTTCTTGCTAACTTATTTTTGAAGCAAAAAAACGCACTTCTTCAGCTACAAAATTAGCTCAGAATAGCCACTGCTTGCCCTGAAAGATGGAAAACTTTCTGACATCTCCACCCCTAAAGCACGCGGAATAAAGGCGCGACAACGGCCCTCGCTCTTGGGAGGCCATGTCAGTGGAAATTCGGTGTCTGGTGATGAGGGGTGTCTAAAGCATTTGGTCTCCCTTTGCTGCCGAGGGCACCCCCAGAATAACTGAAGTTGCTCAGAAATACCAGGGTCCATCAGAGGACGCAGGATGGGGGTGTAGTGGTGATGTGAGGAAGACAAATGGCTGCGGGGCTGGAGGAGGGCTGCGTGTGGATGCTGGCAAAAAGAAAGGGCGTAAATTGATCCTGGAAAATCCTCGCAGAGGGATTTTGGGGAAGCACGGCACAAAGGCGGGATGCCCCTGTGTACGGGACAGATGTGAGACTTCAGTCAGCAGCGTGGAGCAGCCTCCCCATCTCTGCAGACAAAACCTCTTATCTCTGGTCCCAGCGTGAGCCCCTTCCTCAGATGCTGCTGCAGATTTCTGTCGGTGCAAATTTCTGCTGGCTTTCAAGTGAAAACAGCTTTGTCCTGGCCCAGAGGCTCCAGCTCTTGCTCTGCTGCGCTCTTCTGCTTTGCTTCGAGTCCCAAAGCTGCTCTGGGTTGGAGCTGGGAGGCTGAGCTGTCTCCAGCCACAAGGCAAATCTTGTTCCAGAGGGTCTGGATATGACCCTTCCCTGCTCGTCTTTTTGCTTGGGGCTGGATCCTGCTGGGTGCTGAGTGCCCAGGCTGTGCCCTGGTGCAGGGAGAGCTGCTGTGGGAAGGGGGAAGAGAGGGCCGGGAGGATGGCAGAGAAAACCAGTGGGGATTTGCAAATAAAAAGAGCAGGGAGAGCCAGCACCATCCCTGCAGCTCTTGCTGCCCTTTGGTCCGTGTTTGAGTCCCTCAGCCGTGCAGGCTCTGCTCTCTCACGAAACTGCTCGTTCCTCTCCTAAAAAGGACAGTTAAATGCCACCCAAAGGACGGCTAAGACCTCCTAAAGCTCCTGTCAAAACAGCAAAGGCTGATCGAGCTGAAGGAACCGAGGGGTCTGTCTTCCCCCTGGCTCGGCCGCTCTCTTGTATTTCTCTGCCTCCTGCCTCGCCCCTAATCCAGGCTTGGAAGGACCCGTACTGCTCCCAGGCACTGGCTGGTGGCCATGGGGCTCATCCTAGGGACCACCCTGACTCTGCTGTCACGGTTCCCCCAGCCTGGTGCCATGGCCACGTTGCTGGGGCTGCTGCTGGCCCTGCTGGGCTGCACCGCAACGCCAGACCCAGCCCTGGAGGAGGTGTGGGAAGGGTGGAAGAGCCTCCATGCCAAGGAATACCCAGAGGTAGGTCCTGCTCTCCCCTGGCTGGTGCTGGCTTGGGGGGCAGTGGAAGGGTCTTACCCAGAGCTGCCCACCCCATCCCACGTCCCTAGGGGACATTTCTGATCCCTCTGCCCCATGACAGGAGGCCGAGGCCACCCGCCGGGAGGTTTGGGAGAAGAACCTGTGGCGCATCCAGCAGCACAACTGGGAGGAGTCGCAGGGGCAGCACGGCTTCCGCCTGGCCATGAACCACTACGGAGACCTGGTACCTCACCCAGGGACCCCTCCCTGCACCCAGGGCTTGATCTGGGGACCTCTTGATGCACCCAGGGCTCGATCTGGGGATTGAGTACCCCCAACCTGCAGCCCTGGAGCCAGGCTGCTTCCTGGGGATCAACAGGCCGAGCGCTGGTGGCATCACACGAGCTTTCCCTTGTTGACCTGCAGACAGATGAGGAGTTTAACCAGCTCCTGAATAGCACAGGGGCAGGAGCCGGCACAGCTCTTCCAGGCACCGGTGGCTCTGAAGACCCCAGCGGAGGTGGACTGGCGGGCAAAGGGCTACGTGACACCCGTGAAGAACCAGGTGGGCACGGGGCAGGGCTGTGTGATGGGTGCAGGGAGTCTGGGCAGCAGCAACAAGCAGCAGCATCCACCCAAGTGCCGAAAAAACTCTGGGTGACCCAGAGAAGCAGCTCTCATAGTTTTGGTCACTGCAGTTTTGCAGCTGAGGAGCTGGAGAGCAGCACTGGTGGGTCACAGCATCCTTCTCTGATGGGTTTGGGGACAATGTGGTGATCCCTCTCACTATCCCCATCTCTCCCAGGGGCACTGCGGGTCGTGCTGGGCGTTCAGTGCCACAGGGGCCTTGGAGGGGCTTGTCTTCAACCGAACGGGGAAGCTGGCGGTGCTGAGTGAACAAAACCTCATCGACTGCTCCCGAAAGTTTTTTTCCCGGCGGCTACATGACCCGTGCCTTCCAGTACGTGCGCGACAACGGCGGCTTGAACTCGGAGCACGTCTACCCCTACATGGCCACGGTAAAGAACGGCAGGTGGCCCTGGGGACACACCAGAGCAGTGTCAGTGGGTTCCAGCACCAGTGTGGCTCTCTTCTCTCCTCTCAGGACACTTCCAGCTGCCGATACAACCCCCAGGACAAGGCGGCCAACTGCTCCACCATCTGGCTGGTGGCCCAGGGCAATGAGGCGGCGCTGGAGCAGGCGGTGGCAGCCGTGGGCCCTGTGTCTGTGGCCGGGGGGGGCCAC